GTTTTAATGATAAGGACAAAATAAAGGGTAAAGTGAATAGTACCAGGATTGACTTTTTAATGTAAAAATATGATTTTTCGTTAAAATGAATAGTAACGTGAATTTTTCGTTAAAACTCTCATATAATAAGTCTAATAATTAGTAAAATACAATAATAATTATAAATAATATATTACTATTGAACATGAATATAGTATATGGTGGTTGTCCACAGTGGAGAGTCCACAATCCACGCCCTGCACACCACAATCATAGGATAGATAACAATCACTCAGTGGTGTCGTCACGTAGCCCAGCAGGGCTGTAGAAGCCAGCTCATGCAGTCTGCCACGTGTCAAGAACCCATTTTCGGGTATACGGTGCACCCATTGCATATTAATACCAACGCCAGCCCAAACAGTTGAGAAATTTTTAGTTGTAATGAGAATACGGATGGTACATCATGTGTTTTAATGTAAATAGTGAAAAATTTTAATTTTTAAGTTATTAACATTTTAACACACATAATCCACTATTTATATAAGGACATGTAATATACTATCTTATGTGACGATCACACTAAAAAATCTCTCCAAACAGTCCCCCACTTCCCCCACACGATTATTATTATCTCCATAAAGATCACATATCAAACATCAACACAAAGAAACATCAAAACCCAAGCTAGCTACCAATATTACAGAAAGAAAGAGTCTAGAGAGAGAGAGAGAAAGTTTAGAGAGAGAGAGAGAGAGGTTAATCATCTCAGATGGGGTTTGAAGAGACAGAGCTGAGGCTAGGGCTGCCGGGTGGTGGTGGTGGCGGTGGCCGTGACGGAGATCAGGTGGTGGTGATGAGGAAGAGAGGGTTTTCTGAAACTGAGAGTAAGATTAGTACTGATACTAGTACTTGTGTGGATTTGAAGCTTAATCTTTCTAATAGTTCTAAGGAGGCAAATAGTACTGGTGGGAAAGATGGCAGTGCTGATAAGTCCAAGACGAACAAGGAGAAGAACAACCACCTTGATCTTCCGGCTTCCGATCCAGCAAAGCCTCCTGCTGCCAAGTAAGTTGTTGTTGATGATGATGATTATGAAAAGTATGAACATGCATGTGCGTGCGCTTGTTGTTTTTTCCATTCAATAATTGATATGATGACCCTAATACTATAATATAATGGATGCCATCTAATGTATATATGTTATCATGTTCCTGACTCATGAGACTTTTTTTACCTAGCCATATGTATCTCTTGTCAATTTAATTAATTAGTACAAGAATTAATACAATCAATTTTTGCTCCATGCATTTCTCTTAATAAGATTTCTCTACTTCTGAAAATTTGAAATTTTTTTCTGCTAGGAGAAAACTAATTGAGGAACCCAATATATAAAGTTCTTCTAGTTTTGGATACATGCTTTTGTATATTATTTAATTGTTCCTTTTCTCCGGGATATTTTTTCATCATAAAAATGAAAGGAAAAAGGAATAAAAACTGAGATTGATCAAATTTGATTACTTGACATATATATTATGTGTATAAATTTATTTACAATTTTCGGCACTTAATTTATTCAACATATATAGCAGCGAGTAGAAGATAGAATTTGAATGAAATTAAGAAATTAGATACTGCACAAATTAGTTGTTATTATATAGAATTTATTCATGTAAAAGACTTAGCTAGTGAGTAGCATTAAATTTTGAATATATAATAAGAGTAATGTTATTCATACCATATTTTTATACCACCTTAGGTAGCATCTGATGTGACAGCCATATCATTTGAAAATTTTGCAAAACCCAAGAAAATGAAGGAGAAAGACTCTTTGGATACCACAATCATCATTTAATTAATTAATTTTTCTTAATTATTAGTTTGTTAAATAATAAACTAAATTTAAAAATCTGATTAATTCAAATGATCTGGCTGTCCACATCAAATGCCACATAAAATGGTATGAAAATGTGGTACAAAAATATGGTATGAATAACAATACTCATATAATGATCTTTTTTTTTTCTTTGATACAACCGATGTTGGAGAGAAGACAATTGAACATGCTTATATAGAATTTCAATAAAACCAAATACTCTTAATAACTTGAGCTTACAAATACTCATGTTAAATATAATGGGTTTAACAATAATGGAATAAAACACAGTATCTTATAACTAACTAATGAACATGATGTTAGGCATGGAATTATCTAATATTACTATTAATTAATAGGGCACAAGTCGTGGGTTGGCCACCGGTGCGATCTTTCCGAAAGAACATGTTCACGGCGGTGCAAAAGAACTCGAATGACGGAGAAAGTGAGCAGATGAACAAGGGTGGCAATAATAATGCAGTTCTGGTGAAGGTTAGCATGGATGGTGCACCCTACCTTCGCAAGGTCGACTTGAAGATGTACAAGAGTTACCCTGAGCTCTCTGATGCGCTAGCCAAAATGTTCAGCTCCTTCACCATTGGTAACTACTATATTTATATTTTGAAAAACGATTTATGCATACTCTGTTAAATTGTTGTCCCTCAATTTTTTTAGATTTGATCAATTCAACCTCTAAAAATAAATACGGGTGCGTAAGGAGAAAAAAATGGGTGTGCTGAATCACCTCTCTTATATTTTTGGACCAAGTTAATATTATTTGTTTGTAAATTTTCGATTATTATGAGACTCGGGAGCAATGTTACAAAATTTTCAATCATTGAAGGAAATTGTGGATCCCAAGGAATGAAGGACTTCATGAATGAGAGCAAGCTGATGGATGTTCTCAACGGTTCTGATTACATTCCAACATATGAAGACAAGGATGGTGATTGGATGCTGGTTGGCGATGTCCCATGGGAGTAAGTTTTTCTGAAAATTAAAATCTGAAAGTTATTTTTGTTAGTTTTCAAAATTTGACGTCATATCAATCAGTTTATATTTTTCTGAAAATTGTATCTGGTTACCAAACAATTTTTTCAGTTTTTTAAAAACAAAAATAAGAACAAGAACTGAAATAAATTGTTTACCAAAACCCCTGAATATTCAACTTTAGATAGCGTTTTACCACAGTAGTGGAAAACAATAATACCTATGCACCTTAGTGCAGGTTTGATCCCCACCTATCTCCCTCCTTGACCTTAACTTTTAAAAATTTAACTACTAATGTTATCATCTATCGACAAAAAAATTATTTATTTTAGTTAACATTTTCTCTCGTGCAAGCAGGATGTTTGTTGAATCATGCAAGAGATTGCGCATAATGAAGAGCAAGGAGGCTGTTGGGCTCGGTTAGTATCTATCTTCAATCACTATAGAGCTAATTAACCACCATGAATCATATTTGTCCTTTAATTTACTAGCTTACTAAAACACGTTGATTGTAATATTTTCAGCACCAAGAGCCATGGAGAAATGCAAGAACATAAGCTGAAGCACTAGTAACGAATAATCGTTACAGCCTGCTCCTTTAATGTCGTCGCGGTCAAGGCAAAACAAATCGAAAACCATCGAAAACGCGATGGATTGAGCAGGTTGTTCGGATGATTGGATGCGTTTGCTTGTAAAATTAATGATATGGTTTGATCGTTAATTATATGTGTAATTATTTAAAGTGAGATACTTAGAATTTGAGTTTTTACCATGGACAGACCCATTTAAACTCGATCGATCGATCGATCAATTTTAAGTAAGCTCAAGGACGGTTGGTGTTTGCTTGTTTAGTATTAATAATTGGCTTGCCTAAGCACGGTAATGTAACATATGATTAATTTGTTGTGTTTAACTTTTGTGTGTAATTTTAGAGGTATACGTCGATTTTCTCTAACTTGAAATCAGCTATCAATTTAACTCCAGAACTTAAATTTTGGCCAATTACTCCCTAAATTTTTATTTATAGCTTAATTCCCCCTGCAGTTAAGTCTCTCTACATTTCATCTATGGTTTCATTAGTTTAGAGGGCAAACTATCATTTCATATGATAAATAAATAATTAATTAATTATTGGGAAAAAAAAAAAAAAAAAAAAAAAAAGGAAACATGTCAAACCACAAACAACCAGCCTCCCATTTATCTCTGTTGCTCTCCTAGTGCTGCCCGAGCGTAACCCCCCTCCCCCTTCCTCTCCCACCCCCAACCTTAAACCACCAGCCACCCAAATCCCCGTTCCATCCTCCCCGCAACCCCACCTTGTCGTCGCCCAACCACCGCCATGAAAATCCTGATATGATCAGGTGAGGTTGGTGCTGCTTATTCTTCTCCTTCAGCGGCACATAGAAATCACCAGTTAACCATGTCGATGTGCCCATGGCGGACGACAAATACAATGAAATGGACATGGGGTGCTCTCTCCTAACCACTTCTTTGAAATTACGAGTGTGCATTCCAAAGTAACGACAGCATGGATGAAATTTGGAGAAATTTAACAGGAGGAAGGAATTTAGATATAAATGAAAGTTGTGCGAATAATCAGCTAAAATTAATTGGGAATACTTTCCAGGACGTAGGGTTGGTTTGGTATTGTTGTGCTATGAAAAAAAGTTGCTTATGCTGTGTTGTGAGAATAATCAGCTGTGAAATAAAGCAGCAGAGTATTTGGTAAACTTTTTTGTAAAAGTGCTTTTGAAAAAAAAAAAGACAGTATTACAGTATTTGGTAAATTTTTATGTAAAACAGGTGAAAAAAAAGCCGGTTTTTCAAAGTTGGGTTTTACAGCTTCTTGTTTTTGGCTTTTTTTCACCCAAAACTATGAAAAAAAACTGAAGCTGAATATTTACCAAACACAAAAATAGCTCCCAACTTTTTTTTATACTAACTTTTTTCATAATCATCTCAGTACCAAACCAGACCTAGTTGATAGAGTCATAGAGGGAACAGGAGCACGTGCATGTTAATGGAGGCATTTAATTTATACATGCATGGCCATTCTTTTTTTCTTCGCTAGATTTATTGCCTTTGACTTTGGAAAGGGATTTTTGCTATTTCTAATATGATTTAATGTTTTACTAATACTTTATAATGTTATATCAAAACAAGTAAAAGTGACCTTAGTGTGTATTTTTTTTTTTTTTTTATCAAAAAGTCCACTTTTATTAACATAAGAATTAGTACAAGGCCCAAAAAGGATTGAGTAAACAACTACAAGGAAAGTAAAGGTCCAAGCAAAATGAGAGCAACAACCCAAGATATAACAGGAGGCCTACATAAGCAAGCTTAGGCCTGAAGGCACTAGAAAACAGAAAATAAAGAATCCTAATCTCCAGTAGCAAAGACCACATTGCCATCGCCGTCACATCCTCAGATGAAGCCAAATTCCGAACCAAGAAAGTAAACACCAGATCCAAATCTCCTTCACGAACTCCTGCAAATATATACAAACAAAGTATCATACGAATAGTGGGTAAGGCTAGGGGGTATGTAAAATACCCAACACTTGGCCTCGATAAATCTAACATAAGTATGCCGATTACGGGAGGGGAAGTGAAGGATGATAGTAGATTTGGTATCCATTTCTTGATCGGAGCCTGCCTATCCGAGTACATAGTGGGATGAGAATGTAATATCACAGCTAATGAGGAGGGATGACATAAAGTTAATAGACAGAAAGCAATTAAATTAGGCAAAAGATGCTGGATAAAAGGAATGAAGCTCAGATCTGAGACAAGCTCAGGGGATAGTTGAGACCCAGCTCAGAAACAGAGATAAACTCATAAAGAACCAGGAATAAAACGAAAGAAGAAGACTGGAAAGATTGAGAGGAAGAGATGGATGCAAGGAAGGGGATGGAGCAGGAGAAGTGAAAGGGGAGGAAAAGAAGAAAAAGGCAAAGGAGGGAAAGAGAGAGAGAGAAAGAGGAGGGAAGAAGGAGACTGGAAAGATGAGGAGGTAGTGGGTTGCAGCATATCCCCAAGCAACAGCAAGGAAGACGGTTGGAAGTTGAAGTCAAAGAAAAGGCTCTAGTCTAGGTTTCTAGAGAGAGAAACTAGAAGGGAGAGAAAACGCGTTTCTACCTTAGTGTGTATTATATTGTAACATATGATTAATTTGTTACAATATAATACATATGATTAATTACGCTCAAGGACGGTTGGTGTTTGCTTGTTTAGTATTAATAATTGGCTTGCCTAAGCACGGTAATGTAACATATGATTAATTTGTTGTGTTTAACTTTTGTGTGTAATTTTAGAGGTATACGTCGATTTTCTCTAACTTGAAATCAGCTATCAACTTAACTCCAGAACTTAAATTTTGGCCAATTACTCCCTAAATTTTTATTTATAGCTTAATTCCCCCTGCAGTTAAGTCTCTCTACATTTCATCTATGGTTTCATTAGTTTAGAGGGCAAACTATCATTTCATAGGATAAATAAATAATTAATTAATTATTGGGAAGAAAAAAAAAAAAAAAGGGAAACATGTCAAGCCACAAACAACCAGCCTCCCATTTATCTCTGTTGCTCTCCTAGTGCTACCCGAGCGTGACCCCCCTCCCCCTTCCTCTACCACCCCCAACCTCAAACCACCAGCCACCCAAATCCCCGTTCCATCCTCCCCGCAACCCCACCTTCTCGTAGCCCACCCACCGCCATGAAAATCCTGATATGATCAGGTGAGGTTGGTGCTGCTTATTCTTCTCCTTCAGCGGCACATAGAAATCACCAGTTAACCATGTCGATGTGCCCATGGCGGACGACAAATACAATGAAATGGACATGGGGTGCTCTCTCCTAACCACTTCTTTGAAATTACCAGTGTGCATTCCAAAGTAACGACAGCATGGATGAAATTTGGAGAAATTTAACAGGAGGAAGGAATTTAGATATAAATGAAAGTTGTGCAAATAATCGACTAAAATTAATTGGGAATGCTTTCCAGTACATAGGGCTGGTTTAGTATTGATGTGCTTTGAAAAAAAAAACTGTTTCTGTTGTGCTGTGAAATAAAGCAGCTGAGTGTTTGGTAAACTTTTTTGTAAAAGTGCTTTTGAAAAAAAAAAAAAAAAAGCAGTATTATAGTATTTAGTAAACTTTTATGTAAAACATATATGAAAAAAAAAACCGGTTTTTCAAAGTTAGGTTTTGCAGCTTCTTGTTTTTGGCTTTTTTTCACCCAAAACTGTAAAAAAAAACTGAAGCTAAATGTTTACCAAACACAAAAACAGCTCCCAGCTTTTTTTTATACTAATTTTTTTCAAAATCACCTCAGTACCAAACCAGACCGTAGTTGATAGAGTCATAGAGGGAACAGGAGAACGTGCATGTTAATGGAGGCATTTAATTTATACATGCATGGCCATTCTTTTTTTCTTCGCTAGATTTATTGCCTTTTGACTTTGGAAAGGGATTTTTGCCATTTCGAATATGATTTAATGTTTTACTAATACTTTATAATGTTATATCAAAACAAGTAAAAGTTACCTTAGTGTGTATTTTTTTTTTTTTTAATCAAAAAGTCCACTTTCATTAACATAAGAATTAGTACAAGGCCCAAAAAGGATTGAGTAAACAACTACAAGGAAAGTAAAGGTCTAAGCAAAATGAAAACAACAACCCAAAATATAACGGGAGGTCCACATAAGCAAACTTGGGCCTGAAGGCAGTAGAAAACAGAAAATAAAGAACCCTAATCTCCAGCAGCAAAGACCACATTGCCATTGCCGTCACATCCTCATATGAAGCCAAACTCCGGACCAAGAAAGTAAACACCAGATCCAAATCTCCTTCACGAACTCCTGCAAATATATACAAAGTATCATACGGATAGAGGGTGAGGCTTGGGGGTTATGTAAAATACCCAACACTTGACCTCGATAGATCTGACATAAGTATGCCGCTTAGGGGAGGGGAAGTGAAGGATGATAGTAGATTTGGTATCCATTTCCTGTTTGGAGCCCGTCTATCTGAGTACATAGTGGGATGAGGATGTAATATCACAGCTAAAGAGGAGAAAGGACATAAAGTTAAAAGATAGAAAGCAATAAAATTAAGCAAAAGATGCCGGATAAAGGGAATGAAGCTCAAATCTGAGACATGCTCAGGGGATAGTTGAGACTCAGCTCAGAAACAGAGATAAACTCATAAAGAACCAGGAATAAAACGAAAGAAGAAGACTGGAAAGATTGAGAGGAAGAGATAGATGCAAGGAAGGGGATGGAGCAGGAGAAGTGAGAGGGGAGGAAAAGAAGTAAAAGGCAAAGGAGGGAAGGAGAGAGAGAGAGAGAAAGAGGAGGAGGTAGTGGGTTGCTGCCTATCCCCAAGCAAGAGCAAGGACGACGGCTAAAAGTTGAAGTCGAAGAAAAGGCTCTAGTCTGGGTTTCTAGAGAGAGAAACTAGAAGGGAGAGAAAACGTGTTTCTACCTTAGTGTGTATTATATTGTAGGTATTAAAAAGAACACAATGTGTAACAAACGTGACTGTAGCCACATTGGTTATTGCTGATATATTCCCTGTATGCACCCAAATTTGAAAATCTCGTTCTCTGCAATTTAAATTTGTTTAAATTAAAATATCGCATGTATCAATAAAAATAATGTGTGCGCAAAAGTCAAAGTTATATAAAAAAGAATCCGAAAAACCCTTAGTAGAGGGAAAGGCCTGGCAATTTCTAACACGACCCGATAACCCGACACGACACGACACGAAATTAACAGGTGTTTGGGTCGACACGATAACGAATCGGGTCGTTATCGGGTAACCCGATAAGCACCTATTAAGATAACGGGTTGGTTCGGGTATACACGTGGGTAACACGATACACGATAAGCAGAATATTATTTTTATAATTTTATAACCCTAAAAAAATACTATAATAATTATATACATTAATTTTACAATTTTATACCCCTAAAAATTATAATATATATATATATATTAAATTAACTATAAAATTTATAATAATTATACCCCCAAAATATTAAGTCTATCTATAATAATTATATATATATATATTAAATTTTATAAAAACTATAATAATTATTAATTAATAATTTAATATGCATGATGCATTGCATGATTTTGCATCCATTGAAATTTGATGTGATTTCTTTCCATTCAAATTTCAATAATCAATTTCTTGCCGTTGCCAACTTGCCGCCCTTTTTGAAAAAAAAAATGGAGGGAAAATGAAAATGTTAAGAAAAGTTGAAAATGAAACAAAAAAGTGAGGGAATTAGGGAAAGATGTTGGAGGGAAAAGTGAAAATGATAAGAAAAAGTTGCAAAGGAAACAAAAAAGAGAGGGAAAAATGAAAATTAATAGAAGTGGTGAGAAATTTTTTTTTTTTTAAGTTATTAACTTTTTATCACACACATGACTGTCATGACATATCTCACTATTTTTATAATGACACACGTGACACGTGATGTATGTACTATTCCGTGTACCAGTCAATTATAATTTATACGTACAAAATAAATAGATTTAAATCTACTTAATAAATATATATATATATATACACACACACATACACACGGAACTTGATTGATGGCATACGAATTCTCCAAAACTAATTTCAACGATCCAAACCGTCAAAATTGTTTGTATATGCTTGGAGATCACATCAGCAAAAAATCACAAAAAAAAAACATTCAGAGATAAAGTAACGGGACAAAGCTTTTCAACGGTTATAAACGAAAAATCACGATTTAACGGTTATTTTAACTCCGATTTTGATGATTTTTTATAACTACACTCCTTGACCTTATATGAATACAATGAAGGAATTCGATCTTCAATTAAAAATATTTACACAAGTGGATACCACAAAATCTTATGTTATACTTAATGAAAGTATAAATAAACTATAAGTGTTAGTCAATCTATCGTTTTACGAATTCTCCGAAACTAATTTTAACGATCCAAACCGTCAAAATTGTTTGTATATGCTTGGAGATCACATCAGCAAAAAATCACAAAAAAAAAACATTCAGAGATCAAGTAACAGGACAAAGCTTTTCAACGGTTATAAACGAAAAATCACGATTTAACGGTTATTTTAACTCCGATTTTGATGATTTTTTATAACTACACTCCTTGACCCTATATGAATACAATGAATGAATTCGATCTTCAATTTAAAATATTTACACAAGTGGATACCACAGAATCTTATGTTATACTTAATAAAAGTATAAATAAACTCTAAGTGTTAGTCAATCTATCGTTTTACGAATTCTCCAAAACTAATTTCAACGATCCAAACCGTCAAAATTGTTTGTATATGCTTGGAGATCACATCAGCAAAAAATCACAAAAAAAAAAACATTCAGAGATCAAGTAACGGGACAAAGCTTTTCAACGGTTATAAACGAAAAATCACGATTTAACGGTTATTTTAACTCCGATTTTGATGATTTTTTATAACTACACTCCTTGACCCTATATGAATACAATGAATGAATTCGATCTTCAATTTAAAATATTTACACAAGTGGATACCACAAAATCTTATGTTATACTTAATGAAAGTATAAATAAACTCTAAGTGTTAATCAATCTATCGTTTTACGAATTCTCCAAAACTAATTTCAACGATCCAAACCGTCAAAATTGTTTGTATATGCTTGGAGATCACATCAGCAAAAAATCACAAAAAAAAAAAAAACATTTAGAGATCAAGTAAAGGGACAAAGCTTTTCAACGGTTATAAACGAAAAATCACGATTTAACGGTTATTTTAACTCCGATTTTGATGATTTTTTATAACTACACTCCTTGACCCTATATGAATACAATGAATGAATTCGATCTTCAATTTAAAATATTTACACAAGTGGATACCACAAAATCTTATGTTATATTTAATAAAAGTATAAATAAACTCTAAGTGTTAGTCAATCAATCGTTTTACGAATTCTCCAAAACTAATTTCAATGATCCAAACCGTCAAAATTGTTTGTATATGCTTGGAGATCACATCAGCAAAAAATCACAAAAAAAAAACATTCAGAGATCAAGTAACGGGACAAAGCTTTTCAACGGTTATAAACGAAAAATCACGATTTAATGGTTATTTTAACTCCGATTTTGATGATTTTTTATAACTACACTCCTTGACCCTATATGAATACAATGAATGAATTCGATCTTCAATTTAAAATATTTACACAAGTGGATACCACAAAATCTTATGTTATACTTAATGAAAGTATAAATAAACTCTAAGTGTTAGTCAATCTATCGTTTTACGAATTCTCCGAAACTAATTTTAACGATCCAAACCGTCAAAATTGTTTGTATATGCTTGGAGATCACATCAGCAAAAAATCACAAAAAAAAAACATTCAGAGATCAAGTAACAGGACAAAACTTTTCAACGGTTATAAACGAAAAATCACGATTTAACGGTTATTTTAACTCCGATTTTGATGATTTTTTATAACTACACTCCTTGACCCTATATGAATACAATGAATGAATTCGATCTTCAATTTAAAATATTTACACAAGTGGATACCACAAAATCTTATGTTATACTTAATGAAAGTATAAATAAACTCCAAGTGTTAGTCAATCTATCGTTTTACGAATTCTCCAAAACTAATTTCAACGATCCAAACCGTCAAAATTGTTTGTATATGCTTGGAGATCACATCAGCAAAAAATCACAAAAAAAAAACATTCAGAGATCAAGTAACGGGACAAAACTTTTCAACGGTTATAAACGAAAAATCACGATTTAACGGTTATTTTAACTCCGATTTTGATGATTTTTTATAAATACACTCCTTGACCCTATATGAATACAATGAATGAATTCGATCTTCAATTTAAAATATTTACACAAGTGGATACCACAAAATCTTATGTTATACTTAATAAAAGTATAAATAAACTCTAAGTGTTAGTCAATCTATCGTTTTACGAATTCTCCAAAACTAATTTCAATGATCCAAACCGTCAAAATTGTTTGTATATGCTTGGAGATCACATCAGCAAAAAATCACAAAAAAAAAACATTCAGAGATCAAGTAACGGGACAAAACTTTTCAACGGTTATAAACGAAAAATCACGATTTAACGGTTATTTTAACTCCGATTTTGATGATTTTTTATAACTACACTCCTTGACCCTATATGAATACAATGAATGAATTCGATCTTCAATTTAAAATATTTACACAAGTGGATACCACCAAATCTTATGTTATACTTAGTGAAAGTATAAATAAACTCTAAGTGTTAGTCAATCTATCGTTTTACGAATTCTCCAAAACTAATTTCAATGATCCAAACCGTCAAAATTGTTTGTATATGCTTGGAGATCACATTAGCAAAAAATCACAAAAAAAAAAACATTCAGAGATCAAGTAACGGGGACAAAGCTTTTCAACGGTTATAAACGAAAAATCACGATTTAACGGTTATTTTAACTTCGATTTTGATGATTTTTTATAACTACACTCCTTGACCCTATATGAATACAATGAATGAATTCGATCTTCAATTTAAAATATTTACACAAGTGGATACCACCACCAAATCTTATGTTATACTTAGTGAAAGTATAAATAAACTCTAAGTGTTAGTCAATCTATCGTTTTACGAATTCTCCAAAACTAATTTCAACGATCCAAACCGTCAAAATTGTTTGCATATGCTTGGAGATGACATCAGCAAAAAATCACAAAAAAAAAAAAACATTTAGAGATCAAGTAACGGAACAAAGCTTTTCAACGGTTATAAACGAAAAATCACGATTTAACGGTTATTTTAACTCCGATTTTGATGATTTTTTATAACTACTCCTTGACCCTATATGAATACAATGAATGAATTCGATCTTCAATTTAAAATATTTACACAAGTGGATACCACAAAAATTTATGTTATACTTAATGAAAGTATAAATAAACTCTAAGTGTTAGTCAATCTATCGTTTTACGAATTCTCCAAAACTAATTTCAACGATCCAAACTGTCAAAATTGTTTGTATATGCTTGGAGATCACATCAGCAAAAAATCACAAAAAAAAAAAACATTCAGAGATCAAGTAACGGGACAAAGCTTTTCAACGGTTATAAACGAAAAATCACGATTTAACGGTTATTTTAACTCCGATTTTGATGATTTTTTATAACTACACTCCTTGACCCTATATGAATACAATGAATGAATTCGATCTTCAATTTAAAATATTTACACAAGTGGATACCACAAAATCTTATGTTATACTTAATGAAAGTATAAATAAACTCTAAGTGTTAGTCAATCTATCGTTTTACGAATTCTCCAAAACTAATTTCAACGATCCAAACCGTCAAAATTGTTTGTATATGCTTGGAGATCACATCAGCAAAAAATCACAAAAAAACACATTCAGAGATCAAGTAACGGGACAAAGCTTTTCGACGGTTATAAACGAAAAATCAAGATTTAACGGTTATTTTAACTCTGATTTTGATGAATTTTTACAGCTACACTCCTTGACCCTATATGAATACAAAGAATGAATTTGATCTTCAATTTAAAATATTTACACTAGTGGATGTGGATATCACAAAATCTTATGTTATAATTTATATACTTAATAAAAGTATGAATCAACTATAATATTAATAATTATATACATTAATTTAATAATTTTATATCCCTAAAAAGTAAAAACTATAATAATTATATAGATGTAGGTGTAAATTGAATACAATTTCATGATGATCGATGTAAATTGATGATTTTGTAAATGGAGGTGTAAACTTTTGAGAAAGACTTACAATCTTAAAAACAAAAACTCTTTATCCTTGCACATTTAATATTTGTAATATATTAGTAGTGTATGTATTATTATTTTTTATTAGGCTTTTATTTTCGAGTGTAGATATAGTACTTGAACGAGAAATGTTTTAATGTTTTGAAGTAATATTTATGTGGCAATGTGTGGTATGTGCAAATTTAAAAAAAATATATTTTTTTCTTAACGGGTCATAATGGGTCATAACGGGTCGGGTCACTTTACCCGTTGGGTAAAGTGACACGACCTGTTAAGGACCTGTTAAGATAACGGGTGTGACACGACACGACCCGTTAAGATAACAAGTGTTACACGAAAACGACACGAACACGATAGACACGACCCGTTTGCCAGGCCTAAAACGACAAAAACACACTTGAAAGGTAAATAAAAACGGACTTATGTGCCAAATGGTAACACAATACGAAAGTTTGAATGCTTAATTGTAAATTTTTTTAAATTCAGGTAGCGATTGCACAAAATTGGAAAATTTTAGGCGAATTTTCATAAATCTTGTATTCATCAAATATACACAGTTACTTTTACTCATGGGATATGTTATTTGCGTTCCAAAAGTAACTTCTTACCCTCATAAGTGAAAGCAAATTTTGGAGTGCATAAATTACTTCCCGGTTCATATCTTCCAAGGAAAATGAAGATAGGCCTTCAATTTGCATACATGGGATGCAAAACAGATAGAACGAAAGCTTCGTTCAATGCAACCAGCAGGACGGGATCACCTTCAAGCTTCAGTAGTCGATTGACTTGATTATCAAATCAGCATTCCTCTTTGATTTGTTTACTGTCACCGCATTAGGCCGGTCATTGTACTCAACCTACACGATGGATGAAGGGTCATAAGCATCGTCTTAGTGAAAACTCTAGACTAACAAAAAAATTGGAACTTCGTGTCTCGGAAAACCATGAAGCTTACCCGCCATTTGGCAACATCTGGGGGCTTCCCTGCTATGTAGAAGATAAAGAAAGCAGTTAAACCATGTCATGTTTTTACATGTCCCATTTCGCAAGTAGGTGGTTCAAAAACTAAGAATCATGTACCCGTTAAGATATGTCTGTTTCGAACTCGTTCCATAGCTTTGTCAATATCAACTTCAAGAAACCTTAAAAGGGAAAAGCAACAAACAATAGCATTCAATGACACCTTTGAATAAGTGGAATTTCGGTTTTCAAAAGAACAAGTGATTAAATACAGTGTCGCAAATTAATTGTGAGGTGCTGCTTAGTGTTAGAGCCCTTACAAGTATAATTTCTAAATAACTATTCCATCATCAAAGTCGTATGCTTTTTGTATTCCATGATCAAAGTCCAATGCTCAACAAAATTTATAAGTATACATCAAAAAAAGGGCTGTGCCAAATTTATATATCGTGATCCAACGATCAAAGTTTTAATCTATGAAATAAGGAAGACTTAATCGGTCCTCCCGACATGCCTTATTGAACAGATTAAGGCTGCACCATAACATAGCCACACAAGCCCAGTGAAGTTCTTCACCATTGACATTTTCTGAATATTGGTCTCCGCCACACATCCACAATTATACTGGATGAATAGCAGAACCAGACCACCTGACCTCTTTAACATACAGTTTTGCACAAAATATATCCTTTGATAAATAAGGCTTACCATTTCTCGTCAAACATAGATGATACTTCTTTCCAAATCCCATCATCCAACAATAAATAATTTCCTTCTACTATGACCACTTTATGCCTGCAAATAGAAATAAATAAGTTACGAACATACTCATCAAAGATGAAAGAATCAAAATGACATAATTTTAAGACCACCATAATAATTGCTCACAACCCGCCTAATTCTTTAGCTGGTATTAACGACAATTCATGTGAAAAGGAACAAACTACTCACTGAAGGGTCACAAAAATATCATCTTCTACCGGATCTCCAACACCATGGTCAAATGACGGTGCATAAACTGATCCCTGAAACAATTTTTCTGTTAGAATGCATAGCATACTTCTAAACTTGAGGCAATTGTAAACTGTGAGAATCAATTATCAACTAATCACCTCACTTCTCAGAGTCTTGAGAGACTCGAGTAGTTGCTTAGGGTTAAAGGTCCATGGAGCTGAATCACCAATTCGTAAGATTGAAGCTTTAAAGATTTCAAGGTGTCAAATCATCAACAGTGAAATATAGAAACCTCACCTCCTCTTCTTGCATGAGCTTCCTCGGGATTCTAAGATATTACAACATTGCAGAAAATTAGGAATCAAAATATTTTTATCATCTATAATGTTTTGTTTTGAATACGAAACCCAAACAAATGTTGTTTCAACCATAACTTTGGTCCATAGGTTGGTAAGTGACACAGAATATTGTATCATTTACAGAGTTTGTCCTACATATTGAATAATTTCCAGCTAGATACATTTTAAGAAGACAGGATAATTAAAATTGCTAATTTTGGCTTACACTATTATCCACATTGTCGATTCGAAAGGTTCTTAGACTATGCTAAGACTGCCATACACGAGAAATGCAATGGACTACAGAAATCAAAATATCAGAAGAAGGCTAACCTCCATTGCATCCAGCTGAGAAAGATAAAGATGGAAACCATCCATGGGGAGAACTGCAGCCACTTCTGGAGGAGTAACTTGAGAATCCAATGCAGAAGCTTTCTGGGGCCATAACTTGTTTACACGTCGCACAACTTCAGATGCAGTAGTGCTTTTCCCAGATCCAGGAGAACCAGCCAAACCCACAATATACCTGCATCGTACATCAGACAGATTTATAACTTTGTAGAGTAACAAGTAAAATCAGCATGAAAATCAAATACAACTCAAAAAGGTAAAATCCATATACAATCCAGAAAACCAAAACTACATTCATGGTCCCTCCTGTCTAAAGATTAAAGCATGCATAGGAAATCGGAAGCTAACTTACTTCAACTTTGGATTCCCTATTGCTGCGGCTGTGGGAACAAGACGTGCGGCCAAAGCATCATATATTTCATGCATAGACCTTGAAAGAAACAGAAACAACTGTGATTCATCAAAAGTAAAGTGTATATACATACAAAAAAACCAGGAAAGCTTTGCTTGTTTAACCATCAAATGCAATAGCCATATAAGCAGATGTGAGTTATAGCTTCCAACTTTGAAGACAGCATACCTTCCCTCTACCACAGTAGCTTCTCTCTTTAGACAACATACAACCTATAAAGTGTGTATAAAAAAAATTAGAAAATCTTAAAACGTTTTTTTGTTTACAGAAGGGCCGGTTTGATAACCTTTTTCTCTAGCAAGAAAGCGAAAACTAAAAACGAAACAGTTACCAAATGAGTGCTTAATAATCCTCCCCAGAAAAGAAAGTACCATCAAACCTTGACAGGGTTATGCTTGGCAGAGAGGGCTCCAGGTTGAGCAAATAAAGGCTTCGCTATTCTCCTAGCTCGCGAAGGAGAGGGAAAATAACAATCCCATGTCGGAAATTTTGCTTTTTCAAGCAGAAACAGCTCTGCAGATAAGCAAGTCACTCTAATCTATTAACCGAAAAAGTGGCATATAGTGTTACTTGGCAACCCCCCCACACGAAAAGTCAGAAATTGGAATAATTCAATACGAATTCCAAATAATTAAACATGTCATTAACTAGCTAGCTATCTCCACTTTCAATCCACTGATTACACCACAAACTCAACCGAATTCTGCTTCTTCTAAAGCGAATATGATTTTGCTAACAACATAATATAATTTGGAGGGGCAAGTGTTGAATTCAACATCAAATCACTCAACTTTGTATTGAAAAAGAATGATCAAAAACAAAATAATCAGTTAGAAACTTACAAATCAAAGTGGTGGGTATTTCCGTGTATTTATCAAATTATAAAAACATAAAATTGTATAAACCCACGAGAAAATAATAAATCATATCATGAGAGAGGAAAGAATGAGAAACCTGGTGAGGAATTATACGTGTGAGCTCTCGAGGTTGCGGAAGACAGAGAGAGCTCCATGGCCGAAGAACGACAGAAAGACAAAGGGAGAGAGTTTGAGAATACGGAGTTGAGGAGGTCAGGTCGGAGAAACCTGTCTTGTTTTCCGGATGGAATTCGGATGTTTGAGTTACACTTGCGAGTGCCACGAGTATCCACGTGATACCGCCCCTTTTTAAAAGGCTTAATTACTGTGTTACCCTGAAAGTTTGTTTGGAGTCCCACTTTGCTCCCTAATATTATTTTGATCTAACTTCTCCCCTAATTCAAGTTTTGTTGTCTCACTTTACCTTATACCATTAAAAGAGTAATGCTAAGAAAACTAAGTTTGTTTGAAGTCCTACTTTGCTCCCTAATATACAAAATTTTGTTTACAAATTTACTGGGGTGTATTCAATTGAGATTTTGATGGATTTGAATTCTTTTAATGAATCTAGTGGTATTCGATCAGGATTTTAAATAATTCTCTGAAATTCAATGTATATTCAATCAAAATTTTAAGATAGTTTATTAAAATGCTTAGAAATCCAAGTATATTCAATTAGAATTTTAAAGAAGTGTATAACATTCCAAATGTATTCAATTAGAATTTGAATTTAAAGAATTTGGAAAAAATGAGAAATTAAAGGGAATTTGAAAGATTTTGTAGTGTATTTTAAGCATTTACAAATCTCACATTTTCCCATGAAATTTCCAAAGAATTAAAATCAAAATTTTACATGAAATCTCTACAAATCAATTAAACTCAATAAAAATTCATGAATTTATAAATTCATTAAAATCTCTTAAATTCCCAATTGAAAACGTCCCATTAGTTATGCTGATGTAGCATGTGTAGGACCCAAAGAATTGATTAAGCACATGCCCCTTATTTTAATTTAAAATAAATATTTACGACATTCTCCCACCCTACAGATGCATTTTTTGAAGACACTGCTTTGGAATACTAAATAATTCGAGAGCTAAAGATAGATTATTGCTTAATGTAATATTTGAACTGTGAAAATGAAGATTAATCTACAATCAATATATATAATTATTGACGACATAACTATCAACATATATTATTTTTAGTAGTCGAATTAAATAAAAGGGAACATAAATGCACTAAAACAACAAATTTTATTTTATTCCCCCAAATAAAACAATTTATAAAATCCTAGGTCGCCTATTCCAAAGTCTCTCCAATTTGGAAATGGACTAAGTAGTTCTGCAGCTAAAACCAACATTTAGTTTTCTTGAAAGGAAAGGCAAATAATAAGACTACAAGGCAACAGCCCCCAACCCTAATGAGATTAAGGATAATAAAACATAATGTTTACAGGGTAATACTGAGCCTTGTCAAACCAATACGGCACCAAACAAGAGCTTGCTCAGAATACAAGCACACTGCACTTCCGCCTCTCGATCTTTCTTCGCTTCTTATCATCGTCTGATGGCTGCAACGAAAACAAACGAAAACCATAAATGTTTACAGAAATGTATAGGGATGATCCAAAACTATAGTAGAATGAGAAACTTTAGAGTTAGGCACTACCTGCGCAGCGCTGAGAAAATGAGGCACCCCAACCCTCTTCGAGCCATCAGCTAGGCGCTTGCATGGTAATAGGTTATCCGCACCAGCATTGTTATCAATCTACAAACAAGTACAAAAAAAATGCGAGATCAGATTCCTTTCTTTTCATGGGTTTGATTTGACATTAGAACTTAGAATACCGATCAGGGGTGTCCAAATAGAGAGGAAACTTGTGATTTACCTGGCTCTGAATGGCCCCAATCAACAGTTCTTGACAACCTGATGCATGCACATTTTCTAAATTGGGACACTGAAGCACCAATCTCTCTGGGTATAAATACAAACAACAATCACTAAACGATAAGAATAAATTCACCAAAAATTTTCACCCTATAAAGAATTGATAGAAACCTTAGCTAAAGTGAGGAGATCAAATGGGATACCTGGGTACAAATTTTTGCAATAATTCAAGTTCAGGTCGTTGAGTTCTCGGCAGTTTAAATATAGAGCCTGCATTAGATTGAAAATTAAGAACCAGAAAAGAAACTATACGATAACAAAATTAAGTATTAACTTGTATTAGTTCAGGAACTCACATCTAAGCCAGAACAACCCCACAAGCTCAGTTTTTTCAACCGGGCATGTTTGATAATCAGCTTCTGGTAACTATGGTGTACTTTGGCATTGGATGCTTCGGGGAGTTCACGGACATTGGTTTCATCAGAGGGCGAATTGGGAGAATTGGGATCGCATATGGTCATGCCACAGTCCAGGAGTTCAAGCAGAGGCAGTTGCGCAGTAGCAAATTGAATGAAACCTGAATAGTACAGGCAACAGTTAGTGAACTAAGGTTTATGTGAAACTAATCAATTATCAGTTTTTGTCCATGGTCTAGGTGATTACTTGAACTGATATTAGGGCAAAGAGCAACGAGTAGTCTTGATAGAGTATCAGGGAACACGTTGCAAATAATTCCAATGCCACTATCGCTGATGCTAGATCTGTAATCAAAGTGGAGAGAAAAACATTACCTCTCAAAGAAAGAATGAGTAGAGAGAAGCTATAATTTTCAACTATACGTATCCAACTATGCTCATTAAACAAATTTGTTTTCTGCTTTCAGGATCATAAGCAGTATTTCTCTAATGTTCAAGTCTAGTCCTATAGATTCGGATGTTTTACAAAGCAATAAAACACTACAATCAAACATTGTACATATCAGACAATCAAATCTTAACTTCAAAGACTATTGCAATTGAACCATAGGACTGTAAACATACCCGCTCAGATCAAGCAATTCTAAGTTCTGGTAACTCGAAGCAATGGCAGCAACAGATGCATCGGTGATTTCAGACCCAAGGACAAGAGAAAGCATTCTCAACCCCCTGGATGACATGATCAAACAATCTTCATGAGACTAATTGTGCATTGATCAAAGAGAGTTCTTTCACTAATCATCATAGCAGCAGTCTATTCATATGATAAGATTAGTCTCAAAACAAATGGCAAACCTTAGCTTTGCGGCTGTAAGGGCAAGCACAACAGCGTTGGAAAGCCGGATTGATGCAATGTGTATGTTTTGTAACCTTGGGCAATTCCTTCCCAGCACATCAGCCATGGTAACAAGGTCAGTATTATCATTTTCTTGGCGAGAAAAGTCTACAGAAATCTCTTTTAGATTGGGACAATTGAAAACCTGTGAAAAGGGAATGCGAATGAGTAAAAAGAAGTCATTTAAAAATAAACGGAAAACAAAAACATCAAATCAGCAACTACATGATATTGATATACACAGAGGAAAGATAAAAATAATCACCATCTTAGAGAGGGAGTGAAGACCCGAAAGCCAAATTGTAGAAAGACTTGATGAACAGAGAGCAAATCCACCTAAGTTAGAACAACCTTCCATCTTAAGGCTTTTCAGTAATCGTCGATCAGCAACGAAACGACCCAGTTCATCACTGTAGTTTTAAAATCATGGAATGGATTGAATTAATCAGCCAACAAAAGCACTGTTTTATCAAATGCACACCACACAACGAAGAGTATGAAACAGAAAATAGCCAACAATACCAATCTAAATGCCCAATACAACAGTAGCTCAATAGTTTATCGTTTAAGACGACAGTAACGATTAAACACGCGAAAAAGGGAACATGGAAGCTAACAAAGAAGAGGAAACATACCCGGTGATCCGATTGATAGCGCTTCCGGTAGTATTGATCTCCAAGAACTCAAGATTTGGGCATGAAAATGTAATCCACGCCAGCAATGTTGCATCCACATCACTACAAGGGCAAATTTTTATCAAATTAAACGCAATGCATTATTTAAATAACAAGAATTCAAAATGCAGCTTGCTGATTCCGAAAAAGAATGCTGCATCACATCAAATCCTTATAGATCAAATCACATCACTATAATTCTACCAATTGCATTCATCAAAACCCCATTTCGTTTGATCCCTTAATTTTTTTTTCTTTTATTTCAGTTTTAATCCAGATCGAGTTCATTTTTTCGGTTTAGATTGTTTAGTCTTCAAAGCTCGTCGCTGTAAGTAGATCTGTCAGATGAAACCCTAGATCTGAAACAGAGCAGCAATACCTTTCCATCCTAAGAGAGAGGTTCACGAGGCTCGGGCATTTCTGCAACACCGATCCAACAAACCCGACCTGAGCCCTAGCCGGAACCCTAATCCTAAGCATCTCAGCCGCCTTCCACAGCCTCCGCGTCGTCTCCCTCCACCCCTTGCACACCATCGCCGCCGACAACAGCCCCGGCGGCGGCAACCTCTTCAAAATATCCCAAAGACAGCTCGCCGGCAGACCGCCCAAACCCGTAGCCAAATCTATATCGTCCCCGGAGTCTCCGAACTCGTCAGGGTCCGGATCTGGAGAGTCAAAGTCTCCGCATCCTCCGCCGTATCCAGAACTATCCACATCGTCATCGAACGATAGCGCTCGGCGGAGGTGGGAGTAGGGCAGACGTGGCGGCGGAGGGGGGCGGGTGACGGAGAGAGAAGGGGAGGGCTCCTCATCAACGAACGATTCATCGGCGGTGGAGTTGGCGGGGAGGTGGCACTTGTGGCCCTTCTTCGGCTGGCCGCATCGGCCGCAGCTGTAACTGCCGCGCCTCTTTCCGCGCTTCGCCTCTGAGCTGGAAGAAGGGAGGATGGCGAGGGAGCCCAACGGAGTGGCGGGACCCGAGGCGGCGGAGAAATGGGGTTGGTTTGGGGTTTGGTGGTGGCGCTGCTGCATGGTTCTGGATTTTGGAGATTGAGATGTCTAGAGAGAGAGAGAGAGAGAGAGAAAGAGAGGTTGAGAGAGTGAGAGAGGAGAGAAATATAGGAGAGGGAGAAGGCGCGTGAGTGGTGGGAAGGCGCGGGAGAAAAAAGCGGGATTTCGCGCGCGGGTTTTGAAACATTAAAATAATGCGGAGGAGCGGAGCGAGGGCTGCCTTTGCCTGCTTAAAAGGTTTGAGATGACGAAAGTGACCCTGGCGGTGGGTGGAAAATGCCCTTATCGCTGTAAATTTCTTTTGCACATGTTACTAATTAATGCAATTCAAGAATCGAAATTTTCCCGCGTTTAATTTTGGAAATTAGTTTACTTTTTATTGCAAGCA